AATTATACAACTTGTAATTACTTTACAGTTTAGTTTATTTAATTAGAAAACTTTAGCTTATTTCAGATAAAACAAGATGCAGCCACTACCTTTTCAATTTTATTTACAAAATTAAGTTCTTCAGTCATAATCCTTACACATATAGTTAAATTTAAAAAAAAAAATCCCAAGGCCCATCTAACATAGAGTTTATAGTGCATATTTTAACACATCTCATTTTTTTCAGCTTTAAACAAATTGTGTTTTAAAAGTACATCCATCACATTAACTTTACAATTAGTCACATTGAACCTTCCCAGAAACTTTAACACCTTTTGCTACCTTTAAATCAGTGGGATTTGTCAGTCTAATTTTCTGTCTTCCTGTTACTACTCTTAAATGGACAGCTGCCTTCACTTAGGGGCAGCTCTTACCAAGTCTGCACAGGGCTTGACGTTCTGACAGACAAATCATGACCATTCGTATCATTCTATCAAATATTTACTATCATATATTACTGGCAAGTCTCTGAGTGAATGCATTTATGATCTGGTCTGATATAAGAGGCTCACCTACTCACAGTCCCAGAATGTGTTTAGAAAAGGGCAAGAGGAAGAACATTTACTAACGATCTTAAAAAGTAGGCAATGTAATTTTGTTGTTTTGAACAAACCAGACTTATATATTTCAGTGATTTAGAGGTAATGGCTCTAAACAGCACCTTCAGAAATTCTGTCCAGAAAAATCATGTCCTTTCAGAAGTGCATGGATGTTTCCAGAAGAAGAAGTAAGGACTATTTTAATTAACAGGAGTTAAAAGAAAAAATTGAAGATACACAAAGCAGTGTGCAACTAATTACAAAACTTATATTATTCCCTATTTTTGTACTGATGGATATAGCAGAAGTTAACAACTCTCCTTTCAGATAAAAGATACTTATCTTTCTTCAGGTCTTTGTGATATACAAAACATCACCTTTGCTGAACTTTCATTCTGATTATTTTGCAGCAATATTTTATTTTATTGCTGGAACTGAAAGGTCTGGTATTGGTGCAGGATGCTTTCATCTCTAGTAAGACGTTTCATAGATATTTTGCACTTCTTTAACTGCTATTTCATTTTTTTCTTTGGCTCATACACATGAAATAATTTCACTAGATTAAATATATATATATATATATATATATATAAACCTGACTGAATTACAGTTATTATAATGAGAAAATAGTTCCCTTTTTTATATCACACCTAAGAAGTTTTCCCCAGGGAAAAACTCCTAACAGCAGCAACTATACGTGAAATTAACTTACTTTTTTCTATCTCCTTGAGTTAAGAAGGTAGTGACAAAAAAAAAAATAAAATTAAATAGAAGAAGAGTGAATAACTTTCTGTCTGTCAAAATGGTTTGCTATTCCGGGGATAAAAGAACAAAGAGCTAAACTGGTCACACACACGAGTTGCTGAAACCTTTTCACATACTGTGCAGTCAGTAATTGTAAAGCAGCAGCTGAATTCTCCAGATATTCTGTCCAGACTATGTAGGCTCCAGACTACAGATTAAAAGGCTGAATGGGAATTTCTGTTAGCTGCTACACTGCAGGGTATCAGAACAGTGGATATTTCCTTCACTTTTCAGTGTTCCCCTTGCCCACATCAATATATCACAAAGAAGAAAGTGAACTGACTCGAAAGAAAAGGGGACATTAACTAGTCTGGTGGTAAATAAGGAATCAGAGGGCAAGAAAAGAGATAAGAAACTATGAAGACAGATAAATCATGAGGGGTGGTGGAAAGAGAATGAAAAAAATGTTTCAGGGGATAGGTTTTGATCCAGCAAAGAACATGGGAAAACAATTATTAACTCATGAACAACAACTTTTAATTTCAATAAACTGAAGAAGTTTGGGACCATGTTCTAGGAATTCCCTTATCACCTGTGAGTTATCACTGAATTGTTTGCAGCACTTCTGAATGCTCTTGCCTTCTGTACAAGGATGGCTACATTCATGATGAGCCCGTGCATCCAGGCTATACCCAAGGTTTGTTAGAGAGATTGTTAGTCAGATTTGGCTAAAACTCCCAGGATTAATACAGATAATTGTGTTCCAATGCCTGCAAATATTCCCTAGCCCTGTTTAATTTACTAGCATAACCGTAGCTAGGAAATTTAGGAGTCTGATAAAAAAATAGAGGAATAGAGAAAGAAATAGTCTAACAGAAAAAGAAATAATCTAACATTAATTTCCAAAGATAAGGACACAAGCTGAGAATAAATCAGGATAAATCGGAATAAGTCTGGACAAAGAACCAGATGGAGCAGAATTGCAGGACAGAGTATAAACACCAGAATGACCCATGGCACCCAATACATGTTGTCTTTTAGCATGCAAAATGGACTCATGCTTCCTGAATTATCACTCTTCTCTTGTTAGCAAGTATTTGTGAAATTTCAAGCGCAAACTTAAGAAACTTTTTGAATCTTATTTGGTCTCCAAAGTGGGTCAGAAATAAAAGGATAACAGTGTATTGACACTCCAAGTGACAGAAATTAGAAGACCTTTGTTAGCATTTTAGGTTCTAATTCTTCAGGATGCCACTATGATAGCACATAAATGTGGCCATTTTTAAGGTTTGGACTTTATGTGACAGATTAATTGAAGGAACATGTGCAAATGCACAAGGTAAATTCGAAACACTGGAATTATATGATCTGTGTGGTTTCTTTTACCCCAGTCATGAAGGCTGGATCTTATTTAGCTAACACCAAGAAGGAGCCTCCAAGAATTCCTCCTCATATAATAAACAGAGTACATTACAGGATATAGTCAAATATTAAGGAGCATAAAGCACCTGAAAATCTTAATCTTTTGCAGAAAAGGAGGAAGTTTGCTTTTTCTAGATTTTCATTACCTCATCCAGTCTCCAAAGTTCTCAAATAACCAGTAAAATTCTGAGACAGCTTCATTCATTTTGAAAATAGTTAAGTATTTTTTGTTTCCTTCTGTGTCTCCTTCATTTCTTAATCTACACTTACATGCTAGCTTTTGTTGTCAATATTAACTGTGCTATGTGTTTGCATGTGATCTTTTAGAGAAAACTGAAGCAAAAGAACCAGACAGTACTTATGTATTTCCACAGATCTGTCCCAACACTGCCCCTCATCTTCCTCATGCCTCCTCTACCTTTTGCCTTCCTCTTACAGAATGATTTAACGTTAGCAGTAAGGTCTTCTGCTATTCTGTGCCAAGGTATTTGTGATTTCTGCCCTGGTATTCCTGTGCTATTGTCCTGGGTTTTCCTTTGTGTTAACTGGTGCAGTGCAGTGTTTTGACTTTCAGCTCGGGAACAGAGCTGATAACAAGGATATTTTGGTTTGGCCAAGGACTTTGTGAGGCTCATGCTCTGCCAGGGAGGAGGGGAGGCTGTGAGGAAGCAGAGACGGGGCGCCTGACCCGGGCTAGCCGGGGAGGTATTCCATACCACAGCACGTCATGCCCGGGGTGAGGGGTAACTGGGAGTTACCCGGAAGGACACGGGCTTCCGGGTGGAACTCGTTTTCTTGGCCGGTGGTATCGTATTCTCTTCCCTTGTTATTTTCCCTTATCATTGATTTAGCTGATAGTAGCGGTGGTGATTTGTTGCTGGACTGTTTTTGTCTCAACCCGTAGGAGTTGCACTCTCTCGATCCTCCTCCCCGTTCCTCCGGGAGCGGGGAAGGGGAGAGGCCCGGTGCGGGGAGGCGGGGGGGGGAGACGGACACGGACCTCGATTGTTGTCAGCTCGTCACCACTCACTGGGAGTGAGTGAACAAGCTACCTGACTGGGTTTAAATCACGACAGCTATTCATTTTATACTCGCACCTGGCAAAGATATTGTATCTTTCTCATGCTAGATTAAAAAAAAATAACATGTTCTTCAAATCATGGATACCTAATTTGAAACCCTCTGGATGATGTACATTCTCAAATAGCAAAACCACAGCTGAAGGGAGTAGACACTACCCTTTGACATGTAGGAAACTATATAAATGAAGATGGTCTGACACTTCTGGAAACTGAATTTCTCAGACATGATTCTCAAAATGAGCTTTTTTTAACTTAAACTATGTTTATTTGCAGTTTAAAATGGTAAAGTTATCAATGTCATAAAATAAACAGCACATAGCCCAATTAAATATTTCTAAGCAGACTCAATTTATGATTAAATTAGTTTATGTGTATTTAGAGAGGATTAAAACTTCAGGATATGGGGAAGCAATTTAAAATTGAAGCTGAAATCAAATATTCAATAAATGTATAATTTTTTGTTAATTTACATAATTTGTGGATGTATTTTAGGAAAAAATAAGAAACAGCATATATTTTATACTTATGTGATTTATAAGCCTACAAATCTTATCGCTGATGTATTCTCTTCTTTAATGACTTTATTTTGTAATTTTAATATCCTTTCATTTTAATGCACTTCAGACACATAGTATACAACAGATTGTTTAAGAAGGATAAAAACAAAATCTATTTTTCATTAAAATGTAATAACTGTTCAGAAGGAAGTTATGAGTTATTAACTCTGAGTTATGAGTTATTCATAAGTTTACATTACACAACAGAGTATCAGACTGCAACAGGAAATTAAAGTGACAACATCCAACTCATAATAAAACATTTTTAAATGTCTCATTATTTTAAAATATTTATGTAATTATTTAAACTGAAAAAAAGTACTGAAATAGTAATATAGGGGTATTCTTCAAAAAATACCACTGTACTCTGTTCTAAGTATTTGAAAACAAAGAAAAATTGATCATTCTCTAGACTGTCTTCTTATACTTACCAAACCTGACATATTTAACAGTTTGCAGGTGAAAGATAAAAAATTTAAATTCTACCCTAGAAATGGTAAGTGTTCTGATTAATCGAGATTTAAAATAAAAAAATATTTAGAACATAAATATAATTCAGTATATAATTCAAATAAACAACTTTCTCTATAGGAAGTATAATATATGCAGCGCAATACCTGTATATGCAAACTGGACAAGATCCCACAGTGCATTGGGATCTATGCCTTCCATTTTGATCTCTTCCTGCTTGGCTTCACAAACATCACTTGTAAACATGGCAGCAAAGTAGTCAGAGACAGAACTAAGGACAAGTCTGCAAAAATGTTAGAAACCGGTTGTCATTTACATCGACATGTGTATTAAAAATCTCATATATTAAAAAAAGCCCTTAACTTCAAAAAAACCCCACATATTTTCATAGTAATTACAAATTTCCAAGAGCAATATATTGTTAATGCATGTAGGCAGCAAAATACAGCATGACATTTAATTCTAATTTGTTTTTGCTTCCTGTGATATGAACCAAGTAGCATATTAGCATATGATTATAAAACAGACACAGAAATTAGTGTTCAGTCTTTCTGATAATTTTCCAATCATGCAAATGTGCCAATTGTTAACAAGATAATCTCTCAGTTACAGAGACCTATTGCTGAAAAACATTTTGTACTCAGCACTGTTCTTAAAGGCTGTTTATAAAAAAAGTTAGCAGTACATGACTTTGCTCAAGTCTTTAGCCTTCATTAAAACTGTTTCGTAATTTAACGTTACCCATTAAAACATAAAAACAGACAAAATCCTCAGCATTGTGTAATGCAACGTTTTTGTTAAGAAACTTTTCCAAAGAAAAATAATATCACAATACTTAAAAATGTGATGACTCGTTCGGGGATCTGATTTAAATAAATCAAAACCACAGCAAGTACCAAGTAGGATTGTCACTACTGGGACCTTAAGCTAAGAATTCTTCTAAATACCATCTATAGTAATGTTATGGTTTTGTTAGGAGTGAATATTCACAGATGATCTTCAGCTAGATATGTGGTACAAGTTACCACCTATCAGCCAGCGTGGTGATTGTTTTTGCTGTCTTAGCTCATCCAATAGCGAAGTAAATATGACAGTTAGAATTGGCTGCACAATTTTACAGTGCTTTAAGCTACTATATTTTACCTGCAAGCAGAGCAGCTTGAAAGTGTATGTATGATCTTTACTCTGGCGCAAATGATGGATGATGGCAAATTAGCCACTTCATCAACAGAATATAGCCAAAAAGTTAACTCATTTCAAGTCAAACTTTTCCCTTAGGAAGTGCTTCATAGGCTGAATTGAAGGGAAAGAAACTTGCTAATTACACTTAATTCTGAAAGGTGACACCTTTTGTAAATCTTAATTGTGTTCCAGTGTTAAGATAGGAAGTGAAAAGTGAGAAATCAAAGCAATCATTTAATTTGCAATGATCTTCTTTTTTCGTAGCTAAGAAGGCTCAGAAAACCTCTAAATCTTGGTTTAAAGGCATGTTGACCTATTCATCAAGAAAGGTCAGGTGTTTCAGGATGTCACCTTTCTTAACTGCTGAGAATACATAATAAACTCTTTCAACCTTGAGAATCATAGCATGTAACTCCTGGCTTAAAATGAGTTTGTGGTCTCAGAAAGATTTTTCTCCAGTTTAAGGGACTTCTTAATCTTTAATAAAGCTAAATTCAGCCTGATGCTTTTCTGATTTCTTTTATAATACAGAATATAAGTGATTCCTGTTGTGATTTTTTTTATCCTATGATACCTTTATGTTTTGTTTTGTTTTGTTACAGTACATCTCCTTGCATTTTTCACAACTTTTTTCTCTGTCTCTCCCCGCTCCCAGAGGGATGGGGAGGAAGGTGGGGGGGAGTGAGAGAGCAGCTGGGTGGTTCTGGCTTGCCGGCTGGGCTTAAACCACAACATTCTCATGCACCTTTGATACAGAACTCTCTTAACATTGTTGGTGTATTTATTAATTAAAGGAAGCAAACGAAAGAAGCAAATCTTGATCACTTCTTCAAGCAAGCTCTTAACAACCTTTTACCACCTAGTAGAATCTCGCGATACTTGGATTGAAAACTCATAGGCATAACGCAACTTTATTCCAAAGATATTATGCCAGCTCATATAGAAGCTGAACATTCATTATTTTTAAATGCAATTTGTTGTTCTGTAGAGGACACCAGCTGACACTGGGCCACTAATAGTGGTGCTCTACAGATCTTCTCACAGGAGGCAAGCATTTACTGTATATAGAAGTCATGACATCCTATTAGCAAAACATATACTAAGGTATAGCTATGCATGGACTTGAAAAAAGAAATAAGAAAAAAAGGAAGTAGACACTGGTTGCCACTTCCAGAACAATTTTGGCAGTACAAACAAAACTGGCACCTTTCCTGAGTAAAATACATCAAAGAAGCAAGCTGTAAAACAGAACAACTGTGATTATACCACATAGTGATTACCTTTCCTGATGACTGTGGTACTCATCCCTCACCAGTTTATTCAATGCAGAAAAATCTATAACAGCCTTGCAAAAATATATGGTGAATTTAATCCAGTACATAGACTATTACATGCTCAGTATCAAAGACCCTTAGAAAAAAAATTTTTCTAGACGCCAATAAATTTTTTTGAAACAAACTATTGCCCACAAACTTTAAATTGTCATATCTCCTATCTCAGAATTTTGATCGGTATCTTATTGAGATCACTTACTTTTATGCTGTCCATAATTTGGAATCAGATGTCTTTTTTTTATTTAATTCAGTCTTTCTTACACACACTATTACAATTAGCTTTAATACACACAAAGTAGAAAATGGTATAATTTTAGCACAAATGGCACCACAATGTCATTTGTACTAAACGACAGCACAAACCCAAATCTTCCTGTTCCGTACTTACTAACAGACTGTGTAAAACTAAGTAAAGTGTGTTGCTGTAAAGTTATTGGTACCTTGGGAAATTTTGCTTGTTGAGATCTCCACTCAGTTTTTTATCCATGGCAATGTATTTGTTTTGCAACATTTTTGTTTTATTTTTCATAATCTGTTAATTCTGTTCTTTAGGGTCATTTCAGTTTAATTAGGATCGAGCTGAATGTGTAACATCCATTCCCTACTGAAGAATTTGCCACTATAGGTACATTCTACTTCCACCTGTCATCTAGTCAGCATTTCAAATATAGAATTCTTTGCCATCTACCTTTCTTCTTTTGCAGTCACGACACTGAAAAGTTAATTTGGGCTTGTTACTGTTATAACTGCCTTCATCTTCTGAATTTATAAGTATGTAAAGAAAGCCATGAAATATATCATGAATTATTCTTGTCCATTCTTGTCAGTGAGTATATAACAGTTGATGAGAATTGTCTTATACTTTCCATCTGTAACTCTCAATATTGATGGTCTGTCCTGTGTGCATATCTCATCTTGGCTGGAGAAAAACTGAACAGAATTACACAATAAAGTTTTGTTTTTTTTTTCTCTGACCATCTGAGCAGTTCTCTATTTGTAAAGGAAAGCTGGTTTAAAGCAACCACATAATAACAACAGCAACATCAACAATAAAGAATCACCAAATGAGAAACCAACAACCCTCCCCCCCAAGACCATGGACAAGCAGATGGAATTTTCAAGAGCTGATTAAGCCTGAAACAAGCAAGTTTCCTTAGTGTCTTAACTTAAACATAATTTTCTTCCATTTTAATCTATTATATAATGCATAGCTGAGAGTATGTGATACTATCAATCTTCACTAAGTGATGTTCCCTCTTTGCCCTGAAGACCATGCCTTTTGTGTTTACATTCTCTTCCTCCATTTTTTTTCTTTTTTTTTTATCTTCTTTTAATTCTTAAACTGTCTCCCAGACATTTAAGAGTAGATAGAGTAAGTGGCTCTTTATCGTTTCAACAGTACAAAATGAAACGCAAACGTACATGTCATTACATTGAGCTATGAGGAGAAATGTCAGAAACACAGGGATTAGATTTGATGAAAGTAGAGATCTGTGAAGTCATTAGAATAAGTGACTGCTTAAGTATGTAGATCTTTTCATACAAAATGATACAATAAAGCAGAATTCTTAGTTTATCTTCACAACTTACTCCTCCATAGAGCTCAGTTTGGTGAAATCCTTGTGTGTTATCTTTAACCCCTTTTTTTTAATGGCAGCCGAACAGGTCTTCATGATCCAAGTTATTCTTGGATGACCTCCTTTGTTATTCCGTCATCTACCTGGTTTTGTTTGGTTTATGTTTATATTCTATATCACTTGTCTCCTTCTCCCTTCTTAAAAGAAAAAAAAAAAATCACCATCTTAGTCACCCTCCTCTGCACACGCTCCAATAGTTAGATGTCCTCATATTAAGGCACCCAAAACTGCACACAGTACTCAAAGTGAGGTTGCACCAGTGCAGTATAGGGTGGAAAAATCACTTCCCTCGACTGTCTAAGCTATGCTATGACCAGGGGAAGAGTGTGAGGAGGAAGAAGTGGCAGAGACAACATGTGATGAAATTACCATAACCCCTATTCCCCACCCCTCTGCACTGCTAATGAAGAGGAGGTAGATGAGTTGGAATGGAAGATAAGCCTGAGAAGAAGGGAGGGATGTTTATAATTTCTGACTATCCTACTTTGCTGTTAACTGTCATTACATTAAATTAATTTCCCCCACGTCTGCTTTGCACTTGACAGTAACTGGCAAGCCATCTCCCTGTCCTTATCTCAACCAATGAGCTTTTCCATCTTATTACCATCCCCTTCTGCTGAGGTGGCTGAGTGATGGAGTGGCTTGAAAAACACCTGGCAACTAGCCAAGGTCAACACATCACAGTCAGATGTAGGTGTTCAGGTAACTTAAGCTGTAGATCTCAACTGATTACAATGAGGTCAGACACATGGCCATATCAAAACCAAAACTTACTTGGATAACCAACTTTAAAATCTCAGAAATTATCAAAACTCAAGGCCCATTTCTGCATGAGCAAAATCTTGAACTGGTACATACTGAATGATGTAACTTAAGATCTGTTATGTCTGAAAAAGGTACAAATAAAGCCAGAAGAGTTCCTTGTGGAGACCACAGAAATTCCTCTGAAAATATTAGTGGCATTTTCAGTATCAGGAAATATTCTTTATCAACTACTCTTTCTTCTTAAAAAAAAGGTAAAAACAGAAGTTATCAATCAAGGTTAATATTAAAAGCTTATCTAAATTGCATCTCTGCTTTCCCTCTGATAGCAGGAATTTCTGTTGTTCTTGCCATTCTGTCCCAACCATATTACTTGAACAATTTTGTTTTAAACTCATGGATGGTAGGTTGTGGTAAAGATCACAGTTTAGATGCAATGTTTGAAACGGGAAATTCCTCAAACCTTAATTACAGATATCTGGGAGTGATACATAGGGGAGCTGTATTGCTTCTACTGTGTGCTTTCCATGTGAATCCGTTACTGATTAATGCAAGAAAACAAGCTTAGGACTACACACTGTACATTTTACCTCTTTTACCCAGTGCCTTTAAACTGTCTTTCCTTCTCTACCTGGTTCTTAATCCTTTCATCTCTCCTTTCAACTTAACTTCCTACATTCATTTTTTCCACTTTATTAATACTGGGTTTCTTTCTTAAACATCTTCTCTCTATAGTAGTGCTCAAAATACAGTGAAAAAAGATGGCCCTTCCCCCTACAGAACTAAAAAGGAGACCATAAATTAGTTTGTGGAAAGAGTTTTATTAAATTTATCTGAATTATATTAAATAAAAGCTGTACTATTTTAGAGCTGAGCATCCAAAAAAGGCATCAGCTGAATTTGTGATGAAAAATTTAAATTTCATGTTGAAAGACAGTTTTTCACTTTTCATACAAACATTTGTAGAAAGATTAGCCATTCTAACACATTTCTTTGTTATGTATGTAAATGATAATTTTCTTATCAATCTGTGCTACTTTTTCCATCACACTAAGAATCCCCTCTGATCCCTAGGTATCAGAAAGAACACAAATGTCTATGTACCTTTGACAGTAAGATAAATCAGAAAATGAAGGAACTCTCATTTCTCATTATAAACTCAACTATACTTGACGATATTGAAACACCAACAACAGTAGGTTTCTTGGCTACTTTTCATTCACAATCTTGAGTTCTCACTAAGTGCAATGAAAATCAGAATCACAAGCTGAGGATGCAACTCTTCACTTATATTTTTTGCATTTTGTGTTTTTATTGAATTTTCTGTTTTATTGAAATTCCATCTCTGTTATATGGGAGTGTTTTGCTTTGTTTTAATTGAATAGGGATAAGTAAATTCTATGCTTATATCGCTGCTTTTTTTTTTTTTTTTTTTTTTCTCCTACATCACTGAGTTCCTGTATTGCTTTATGCACCATTCCTAGCCAAAGACTTAAGGCTTAAACCTTAGTCTGAGTTTAGCGTTGCCTATAATATTCACTTCTTGGCTGAAAGTTTTAATGAACTCTCTAGTGTAAATCAAAAAAAGTCTATCACTTGTATTGACTTTGGCTGGTTTTGGCATTTTTGATGTTTATTCAGCAGCTGTAGAATATAGTATTTCAAATGCAGTATTTAAAAAACAATGTAATACAAGCTAGTTTCCTTCAAGCAAAATAATCAAATTATTTGTGGCAAATATGTATTTTTAATTTCATGTTGACCTATGGATTATTGCTTGATTAAGATTTTTTTTTTTTTTACCTTGAAAATAAGTACTGCCCTGATCATGTCACTATAGTTCTGAATAACATTTACTTCCCAGTGGTTTTCTATTTCAGATGACATGTACTAGCTGCAGTCTAGTTAGATTTCTAGGTACAACTGCATTTGGGTGATTGTATCTTGCATAAAAGAAGGAAGTGTCAATTACAGTGGGTGGGCTCTACTAATTTGCTTGTTTTGTAACAGCAATGCCTGAGTTCCTTCTATTCCAGGTACTTAAAGTTGCAATGTCTGAAAGAGGTTATAGTCTAAATGAGAGGTACAGAAAATGAGAAAAATATATATAGCATGCATCTCAAAAGTGAGTGGAGAAACTACAAATGCCATGTTCATAATATTTTAAAATTAGATTTATGGCACAGCAGTAACTTCTCCTCTAGAGAATAAGTTATTTAAACAGATCACCAAAGGACATAATCAAGATATGTGATTAGAGAAGAGGGAAATAAAGGAGCTAATGCTACCAGCAATGAAATTTTATATTTTTTTGTTTTTAATTTTTTTAAATTTTTTTAGCATGGTTTGCCTTCAGGTCTTTTAGGTCCCTGTGCCCAGCGGCAGGACCTATGGGGTGTCACTCATAATAGAAGATGTACTTAGGCTGCAGCTAAGTGAACTGGACATACACAGGTCCTTGGGACCAGAGAGGATACGTTGAAGGAGCAATGGCTTAGGGAGCTCAGCAATGCTATTGAAAGACCACTCTCTCTTTAACAGATCATGATAATTACAGAAGATTTCTGAAGACTGGAAAGATCAATTTCTGTGTCATTCTCAAGAAGGAATATATGCGTAACTACAGACTGGTTGTATATTATAATTTTTTTACAGAAAGAATGAGAATATTGTTGTTGCTTCTTGACATTTACTTGGCCTATTTTTGCTTCTCACATTTTTCAACACAGTTAAAAAAAAGAATAAAATTTCAATGTCTGAGTCTACGTTCTTAAACTACATTCAGAAAAAAAATACTTCTTAGATACACAGAAATATTCCACAATTGATATAATTTTCCCTTTTAATGTGAATGATATAAACTGGCAGTAATATACTGGCATGTAAAATTAGACACCAATTACAAAACCTTAGGTTATTATCTCTCCAGTTTTCTTTTTGATGGGAGGCGCTTTAAGGCATATCTTGCAGCTCTGGAACACTGAAAATGCAGATGGACAGAAGGACTGTAGCTTAATATTATTCCCTCTGTACTTGTTACACACATAAAGAAAAGATGTTGATTTAGATAAAAACAGCATCAGACCACAATTATCAGGGGTGCATAAAGTGCCAGATGTATGATACATTTAACAGCAGAAAAAGTCTTGAACACAGGAATTCTGTCAGTTGCCAAGTCAGTGGGAAGAAGCTATAGGGACTTAGCTGGCATCTAAGTATAATTATCATCTGAGTATGTGAATGCAAGGAAGAAACAGGAATGGCAGCTCTTAGAAAACAAGGGAATAGAAACAAAGTCTTAAAAATAAAAAATGCTGAAAGAAGAGGACAAGGACTTCTACATTTATTACAGCTATTAATCTGAAACCACGCTGTTTGATGTGTGGTGAAAACTACCTAGATCAATCCATTATTGCTTGTAAAGTGGGATTATTTTATCATTTATTATAATCACTGGGGCAATTTAAATATTTTAATTAAGGTTTCTGTCTGGTTTTACTTTATAGTATTTGAACAACAGCTTTGGATTTGCAGTCTTGCATATTGCATCTTTTTAATTATTATTATGGGAGTTGGAATATAAAATAGTCAACTTTTCTGTAAAACAGAAAAAGAACAGTCACTGCAGGGAAAATGCTTGGCACACTCATGGTAAGTTTGATAGTTGAGGGCTTCTTGAATTTTTGAAATCCGTACAAAAAAAAAGAACCAACTTTAGAGGCCCAACCTTCAAATACTACTTTGTGCAGCCACTTAAAATTGTGGTGTTTAAAGCAAGAAGAAAGCAGGCATAAGAGGCCACAGAAAACACCATTCTAGGACATAAGCAAACCCAAAACATTTACTTTCATAGTTGCAATATCTTATGCATATGCCCTACCTATGTGCAGGTATTTTGCGATTCCCAGCAATGAGGATAACGTCACAGAGTTGCTGCTGCTTCAGATAGCTCTCCATCTTTCTGAAGGTTTGCTCTGCATGGTGAACAGCTTGGTAGAATTCCTCAGAGCTACATGAATCCATGTCACAATGGGGTGGCAAGGGGTGGCTGGATCCTGACAGTCTGTAAACCACAAGAGAAACTACACGTTAATAAGACGTGACCAGACTTCATCACAGGCTTCCAGAATCTGATATATGTAAACAATGCATCCTTCCCACTTTTCACCACTAGAAGTACAAAATAGAAAAATCTTACTGCATTAGGAGGGACAACTGAAGTTGTAAGTCTGTTAACGGAAATGTTGGTGCTTTTTTAGCATAGACATGGAAGTAATCAATTTATTTATTCTTTGATAAAGTTATTCAAAAAATCAATATGAGCAACCTAATCTAGTGGAAGGTGTCCCTGTCTATGGCTTAGTGGTTGGAACTAGACAGTCTTTAAGGTTGCTTCCAACCTGTGATAAACACATAAATATATTGGCTTTCACGAATCATAGGTGTGGTTATGTGGATATAACTGTACGAATTTACAATAACAGAAACAAAGCTTGTTAAAGACACAAGATTAGACAAGAAGTCAAAAAGGGCCAGAACTCTTGAGCAAAATGGAGTCACATAGCAAAAGAATTTGTAAAGGTAAAAGAAAGGGGGGGGGGTGTGGGGGCTTGATATAAGAAAAGCTAGTGCCTGAAAAACATGAGTTAAAGTACTTTTTAGCTTAACTAGGTTGTAGAAAGAGAACAATGTTTATGTTGTAAGTCTGTGGAATTTAGTGGCCCCATTAAACACGAGTTAATTGTTTCACACTAGTCTTCTAAAGTATCTTTAGTTTTAAAGAACAATGCTTATGTTGTGTGTGGTAAGGTAACAGGATTTAGTGGCCCCACTAAACATGAAGGAGTTATTTCACCCCATCCTTCTACTTATCAGTTAGTTTAGAGATAGAGCCTCCCAAACATCTGCTAGCTTGGGATACTCCTTGTCTGCCCATCCTGCAATAAATTTTGCAGGAAGATCACACTGTTTTAAATCATTGCTAGTTATCAGAAGAATTACAGATATGGCTGGTTTCAGCTAGTTGTGTGATTACTGGGGCATCCAACTGTGCCAGAGGTGAAAAGTACACTGTGAAGAAGACTGCTTACTTCATCCTGAAGACCCCTGCCCACAACCACTGGACAGCAGTGAGCAGACGCCAAGAGGAGGGGACTTATGAGAATAAGTTCCAGGAGTTAGTTATAATATTCCCCGCCTATATGCGGGAATTATGAATATGTGTGTAACTAATGTAATAGTGAAAGAACATAAACCTGTAACAAATGCTAATCACTCGCGCCTCTGTCTACGGTCATGCGCCCAGCACTGTTGCCTTTGCTTTATTGACTTTGTCCCTCAATAAAACACAGTCATCTCATTTAGAGGAGTGAGTCCGTATTTCACAAACCTGTTGTGGTTTACCCAGCCAGCAACCCAGAACCATGCATCCGCTCACTCCCTCCCTCCTCCCTTCATGACCCCGCTCCCAAAAGGACGGGGAGGAGAACTGAAAGAATGTAACTCCCATGGGTTGAGATAAGAACAGTCCAGTAACTAAGGTATAACACAAAACCACTACTGCTACCACCAATAATAATGATGATAAGGGATATAACAAGGGAAGAGAACACAACCGCTCACCACCTGCCGACCGATACCCAGCCCGACCCAACCAGTGATCTAGCCCTTCCAGGTAACTGCCCCCAGTTTATATCCTGGGAATGACATGCTGTGGTATGGAATACCTCTTTGGTTAGTTTGGGTCAGGTGTCCTGTCTCTGCTTCCTCCCGGCTTCCCCTCCTCCCTGGCAGAGAATGAGACTCTGAAACTCCTTGGTCAGAGTAAACATTATTGAGCAACAACTAAAAACATCGGTGTTATCAGTGCTGTTCCCAGGCTGAAAGTCAAAACCACAGCATTGCAGCAGCTACTAAGAGGGAGAAAAATGACTGCTACTGCTGAAACCAGGACACAACCAAAACTATTCCATGATTCCATGGTTTTATGAAATAGAGAAAGCAATTGTATCTTCCCACTGATTCTAAGAGTGCCTAGTGTAGTTCACTTCTTCAAATTCACATTCATTTTACAACACCCAAGAAAGAAAAATAAAACTCTAACTGACTTAATTTGCAATCAATTGGGAATATATTCTTAATGATAAATTACATACTTTTAACCAAAAGATGCGTTAGTACAAAGTGAATTTAGCCTACAAACAGAATGTCTTCAATTAAAAAAAAAAGGAAAAAATAGAAACACAAGAAAAAAATAATTATTTCCTCATCATATATGTTCTTAGTTAAAATTTACTTAATTCAGTGTTTCAAGTTCAGACTTTTACTGAAAATAAGAAAACGTGTCAGCAAGTACTAGCCCTTGAGGAAACTAATGCTACTATTTCCAAATAATTCACAACACAGATAATAGCCTCTTCTTTACAAATATGTCATGAGATTATTTCAAATGAAAGCCATAAGGTTTTATCTATCTTGTAGTGCTAAAAAATTAAGAATTTCATATATGAAACTGATTTTTTTTTAGCTTCAACTAGATATATATGAAACAGCTTACATAATGAAAGAGCAAAGGAGTCCAGCATATGAAACAATATTATCAATTAATTCAAACCAGTGTGATTGTTTTATATATTCTATCAAAATAGAAGGAGCACATAAGGAATGTTCATACTTTATGGCAATAATATAACAGTTTCATTGCATGAGGTTAATTACATTCAGTAGATACTATATTATAAGAATGATATCAGTAGACCTATAGTAGATCCAATCTGCACTCCTGGTGGTAGAAAAACTATAAAGTGCATTAATATAATAAATGATTAAAATAATTAATTAGATAATAATAATTTTGAATATTAGTTATTAAAAATAAAAAATTGCATTGTATTGACTCTTGGTAGATTATAGTACAGTTCAGAAAACAGTATTTCTTTCTGATATATGCTAGGGGTTTACTTTTGAATTAGTTTTTGTCCAGAAAGTATTCCACATGGTCTCCTAAGTCATTGTACAAAGGTCTACAGGTTTAAGAAGGAAAGGCTGGCCCATCTTTCTGTCACAGTAATTACTAGGCTTCACAGAATTCCTTTAAAGTAGCTGTAAGCCTGCATAATGAAATATGGCCTGCAGATAATTTTACAGGGAACAAACAGAGTTACCTTTGTATCTCACCCCATCATCTATTCTGTGCCACATGCTGGCACTAATTATTTAAGAGAATGAGTTACCTATTAGAATTATTACCCACAGTAAATTCACTTGCATAACATTAAATTGGATTCTGAGATATCATCAGCTGGCTTATATTGATCAGTATTGCCATTTGTATGATGGTAATATAATACTGTGAAACTCTCTGTAGGAAATTAAACTGGCAAAACTTTATTAACCATGATTCCTCAACACAAACCGTTATGTATTACTGATTTAGAAAAGGACATTTCTCTAATCCTGTTATACTCGATCTTGTTACATAATTATGTTATGCTAGGTGTCTCTTGCAAACTTCTCCTAAAGGATAAAACAAACATAATCTGCTTATGTGTTCCTATCCAGTCTGGAGTACGAACCATGTTGATCAGAAATCCAATTTTATTTCCATATCTTTGGATGATCAACAAATGCTTTCACAAAAAAAAAACTGTAATGATGGAGCTAAGCTCATTAGTATGGGTAGTGGATAGATATTTCAGGCTTTTTCTTTCATTTTTTTTCCTCACTTTGATGAAAGCCCTATGCAGACTTTTTTAGTTTTATTGCTGAAGAATTAGAATGACAAGTAATTTACAAGAAATAAATCAGTGCCTAATAAATGAGGTTTCTAGGGTCAAACAGACTCATTTCTTCCCTTCCTCCAGGGAGTTTAGAAGTGACAACAGCAGCAATTCTGAAAACCAAAAATAACAGGAATGAGCAGATCTGAATGAATTGTTTGTTAATTCAGAATTTAGGCCTAAGTCAGTTTACATTTGAACAGATAGGGTACTAATCCTGCCTCTTCTTGGCTATTCAAAACATGCTGCCCTTTTCAGGTCAGAAAAAAAGAGAAGTACCCTGACTGAATTTCTGTCAGTTCCATTATGTTAGATTGGGTTGCAATGAGCTTAGTCTATTTTGCTCTTGAGTCATTAGGCAGTTGTTTGCCACAAATTTTGCCCTCTTTCCTGTTCGCCATTTATAAACAACACTTTCCACCCTCAAACTCAGAAGTATATCTGTAACTTACCAAGTCATTAAATAACTACTCAAAAGCAAGCCCCAAAGGCCCAGCACATTTAAATTATTACCCTGAAAACTAACAAGCAATAAGCTTAGTAGAAGACAATAAGTTAATCTTTTATTTCTTTTCTAAGAAAGCACAGATAGAAAGCCTGCTACTTATCCTGTTCAGGAGGTACCTTTTTTTCACTATAAATGCTGTCTGCATAATCAATGCTTTAAATTCAGTCAGCAGCACGTTAAAGTAGGAATTAGTTAAAGAGAATCAGCCAGCAAATGCCACTTACTTTCTAACAGTTCATGAAACCCATGTATAGGTACTTATGGCCAATTAGTGATATAAAAATAAACCTTTCTCTTTGCATATATTGTTGATTGTATTCTGCAGGAACTCCAGCACAAATTCACCTGAAGATTCCCTGATTCTTTCAAAACCCTTTTTAGAACTCGTGTACCTCAAAATCCTGTAATCATTGTACAGGACAGATTCAAGATGTTTTTTTTCCATAATCTTTCTCAGTTGGTATGTGCAAAAAAACTGATTAGTGTGGGAATTTGAAACATTTAGGAGCTGTTCAGAGTAGGCTATTTTTTACCTTTAAATGACTCAATCAATATACAGAAATAAGGAAACACAGGATTACAATAATGACATTGAAGGGTGATACTACAAAATAAGAAAACTAAAAGGCTCACAGAAATTATCAGCATTGAAAATAACCAATATTCTCAAGTGTTTCTTTATTAAATGGCAAACCTGGCTGCATAGCGCATTAAAAAAAAAAAAAAAGGTAAAGAGGAAAGAAATTCCCTTCAGCAACATTGTGCAGAGTAACATCG